TGGCTACAGCTCCCTAAGTACCCGAGACTGTGGTAAAGCCCACACCGGAGCAATCTGTGGGGAAGGATTGTTTCCAGTGGGCTGGACTCACGCTGGAGAAGTTTGTGGATTTTTCCTCGTGGGTAGGGGATCCATTGGAGCAGGGGAAAAGGGTGTAAGGAGTCCTCCTCCTTTGAGAGAGAAGCAGCAGTAACAGCACGGAATGAACTGACCTGCACCCCCCCAGTCCCTGCCCCCTGTGCTGCTGGGGGGAGGAGGTAGAGCTGGGAGGAAAAGGAAAGGAGGGGGGGAAGGTGTCAATTTTAAAATCTGGTTTTGTTTCTTTTTGTCCTCTCGAGTAATCGGTTTTGTTTCCCTTTGTCCTTCTAAGTAAACATTAATAAACTGTTTTGCTTTGAGAAAGCCCTGTCTGGTTTGCCCAGGACCATGGTTGGTGGGTGCTCCCTCTGTTCTTGTCTCAACCCTCAGTCCCTTTGGTTTTTGTTTTTTTTTCTCTCCTCTCTACTTTACTGGAGAAGGAGAGACTGTGTGAGTTTTAGTTGCTGGATCAGCCTAAAACCATGACACCTAACAATATACAGAACTCAAATCTGTCATTTGAATGTCTAGCTCCATTTTTCAACTCTGTCATTGCTCTGTAGAACAGTCAATATATGACATACCTCTTTGCATCTCGAGTTAAAAGCAGATTCCATTTTTCTCCTGGTTTCTGAAATGCAGCACTTCTTCATGACAGGAAAATAGTGGGGATACTTTAAAGTAATTTTATATTTGTCTTCCTCAGTCTTCTCTAAACTCTTAATAAAGTCATCAGTAAGGCCTTCTACAGAACACAATTTAATAAACAAATAATTACTTACTCCCCTCTCTTTTTGTGATATTGTTGCATTTGTTTTGCTGCTATCTAATTTCACATCAGAAATCTCCATGGAAATATAACTCCTCTTTTCACAACTATTTGGTAAAAATTTCACATCACAACCAAGAAAAATAAAAATTGTGAGCAAAACAAATATATGTAGGGCTACCAGATAAAAACTGAATAAGACATAAAAAAATCTCTGGTGTTATTAAAGCACATTTTAAAGCACACCCTTCAGATAATGAATCCCTAAATTATCTGTCACATGAAATCTCTAGATCAGTTTAAATGACTGAATTAGCTAAAATATATTGTGGGACAGAAAAATTTTTCCAATAATTGCAATAAATATAATACACAGGGGACTGCCTGATGATGGAGAACTGAGAAAAGAAGTAGAGAAGAGTAAAGTTGTAAGAAAAAAAAAAGGCAGGACAGATATGCTAACTTGATGCAAGGCAAACACTCAGAAAGCACAAATCCATGAAGAAATCATAAACACCTGAAAGGGTAACTCTAAACTGACTTTGGGGAAGGATTGAAAAGCAAACAGAGAATGTTGGAAAACAGAATTTCACTTGATCTAACCATCATTCACTGGGCCAAAAAACATTACTCCAGTAAAACTGGAAGGCTGAAGTAATGGAAAGAGCAAGCATACTACTCACCAAGTTCTTCCTTAGAAAACACAAGAAATGTGTTTTCCTCATTCAGGTTTTTGTTGAAGTCTATACACAGCTCGCTCAATTTTTTCTTCATCGTCTTTATTTCCTGTATTGAGTATAAGCTAAACTTAGTGGAAAAACAAAAATAAAACTTGGCAATTACTATTCTCCACATGAAGAGTATTTCACTTTTTCCAGTTAGGGTCTATACTAGCCAATAGCAAATACCAGCACTGAGCAAATAACACACTGTAGTAGCATCATATTTCACTCTCCCTCAGCCTCCCTTTTATCTTTCTGTTGCTCCTGAGCAACATTGTTGCCAAAGAATCCTGCCTTGCCGATATCTCTCCAACAATGTTTCAAACGTGTTCTCAACTCAAAGGGGACTGAACACATAAAGACATTCTCTGAACAGCGTTATTTGCTAACGTTCAATTATTTTCTCTTATTTGAAAAGCCTAAACCACAATTTTAAGAGTAAAAATATCCAATAAAATCAATCAGAATCAAGGGAGCAAAAACGCAGGCAACGTACTGAAAAACATCATTCCAAAAGCTTTTTTAAAATCTTCATATTCACCCATCTGAAACATTTTCTAATACATCTCATAGCATGTCTCTACCCCTTACTGTCAAGTTCACATAAACGCCGTATTTACCAGTAGAAGAATACACACCAAATACAAAACATAGGCAGAGGCTATGATTAGTCAAGTTTTTACCTAAATGTAATTCAACTATTGTCTCCTGATAAAGCATTTCAAAATTCCTTTACAGGCATCAGCTGCCCTTAAGCAATACAAATACACATGAAACTGTTCCCAGTAACTGGAGACATGGATGAAGAATGATTATTTTCTACAAAGGGTAAAGTCTATTCCAGAGTCATTAACCAAGACTGTTACACAACACCACTCAGAATGCAAAGATAATTATGTCAGCATCTCGGATGCTGACAATTTTACTTCATGATTTTCACAAGTGGCAAGTGCTTTTATATGCTTGCATAAATTCTCCCCTAACACTGTCAAAATTCTCAGCACGGCCTGTGCTCCCTTTAAGCTACCTCAAGTTTTTCTAAGCAAAATGCTAAAATCTTGGACACATTGTAAAACATTGATTAATAACTGAAATTAAAATAGCTGTGTCTTTGTAAGAATTATATATATTCCTGAAGCTTGGACTCACAAATAACATTTTTGAGAGGTCTCTTGGCTAGGAATCTAATTTAGGCATTCTCTGTATTCTGAATATATAACAAAATTCTTCCAAATAGGCTTCTTTTACTCTATCCACCTCTATCCACTGAGTACCGTGAATGGCTAACAGATTAATTGAAAAACCTTAAAGTGATTGAAGTTTGAAGGATGGGTCTGGAACTAAGCACAGTTAAGATGAGAGCAGTAATTAGGCAGGTCCAAAAGCACAAAGTTCAAATATATGCCTCGTACAGCTACACAACCATAATTTCATTCCTTCAACAGTTTTTCACCTTTGCTTTATAAACTAATAGTCCATATTTACATTCTGCACTTCTTTAGGAAGATGGAGTCCATTTCTTTTTCCCACTTGAACCGATTTCTCTAGGTATCGCTTTGTTTCAGGCTTTACATGCTCAAGATCGCAGGTTTGCTGAAATGACAGTATAGAATAATTAAATTTACAATATGGCATAAGAAACATACCAAGCATTAGAAGGGTCTGAATTAGAAGGGTGTTCTTCTTTAGAACACCACCATAGTAAAAAAGGAACATCCTGGATTTTAGTGTGAAGGACTGTCCAAACAGTTACCTTACGCAATAGAATTCTTATATTGACATAGCATGGATTTAAAATAATTTTCTTTCACCACGTACCTCATTACATTTACAGGCTGTCATAATGTCAAGCCCTTTTAGTTTACAGTACAGTTCACTTAGGCTTTTTCTGTAGGCATAGCTTTCTTACACACACTTGAAGAAAATCAGTGCTATAAGGTAACACTGCACGTTAAAACTTAGAGGTATTAAAAAAAACCCAAAAGATTAGATGTGTCACTGAACGTTATCAGATGGGATAAAATTTAAGCATATACCTCTTGTCTTTCAGAACAGATCAGTCAGTGACAACACATAAAACAGTGTTTCCGTGTCTGGTTATGCCAGTACAAAGACTCTTGAAAGGTCATTTCCTAAAGCAACCAACATTAAGAGACAAGAATCTCATTGTAACAGAATATGGATCCACCCTGTGAGGGTCTTCCTTCAAACTGATTACAGCATTAACTGTTTAATTCGGAAACTTACATTTTGTCCTAAATTAAAAATAATGCTGTACACATTCTAATTTTGTCTTCCCTCATCTAAAAGTGAACATGTAAAAAAGGTGTTAACTTGCAGTCCTTGTTAAAAAGGACATATTCTATTAAGTTCACCTACAAACACGAAACTGTTGGAATCAGCTCTGACTTGTCTTAACAACCCTCTTGTCGGCTTACCTACATACAATTAACTCTTGACTAGCACCTCTGAAAAGTTAGGAAAGTGAAACACACAAATTTTATGAAAGAGTTACACAACTGTGTACAGCTGTCAACTAATGACCTGCCAGTGCAAATTACCTCTCTTCCTTAAACAGAAAAAAATAAAGACACAGGAATCCAGTTGTAGTCTAAGAGAAAATAAGAATAAACACTCTGAAACAGATATTTTCCCAACTGTAATTAAAAAATAATTCGCACAACAACACATAAACAACGTCTACTCCCATGAGTGTCCTGCATATAGGATTAAAAAATTAGTGGAAATTGCTTTTCAGAACCATGAAGGAGCTTAGAATGGTTTAGCTTTGTTTTTACCCTGCAAAAAGTCACAAGTGCCAGTAGCAATATGCTACAGCAGGACTGCTAAGCAAGCATTTAGTACAATTGTGCCTAAAACTCTCATGCATATACCAATAGTCTATATGCAAGAATTTCTAAGTCCAGCAAGAAAAATGACAACAATCACTTCACTTTATGATAAACATTTCTAAAGCAATCAGTAGATTTAACTTAGTTTATCATTACTAGCATAAGAGGAATGATGATTATTTTTTCTTTTTTATATTATCTGTTTACGGGCAAATTTTAAAAGAATCCATAGACTCATGAAAGGATGATCTAACTATTATAGGTCACCACACAGCTGAAGTCAGTGATGATTGAGCCATGTGATTGCATGGTATAACCTTCAGTATGGCTACGACTTTTTACAGCACTTGACCATCACTTTTATTTTTTTTTTTTAAATAAAAGAATGTAAACAGTAGAAGTCTCCCTTTGGGAGGGAAATAAGTGACGAAAATCATGCCCTCTGTCATCTCCAAGTCAGACCTCACACCCTCAACCTCATTTGTGATCAATCCGTAAGGCAAGCCATATAGAATATTTCTCAACATAAAGATAAAAAGAATGCTGGTTTTGGCTGGGACAGAGTTAATTTTCTTCACAGTAGCTCGTATGGGGCTGTGTTTTGGATTTGTGCTGAAAATAGTGTGGATAATACAGGGACGTTTTAGTTACTGCTGAGCAGTGCCTGCACAACGTCAAGGCCTTTTTTGCTTCTCACACCACCCCACCAGTGAGTAGGCTGGGGGTGCACAAGAAGTTGGGAGGGGACATGGCTGGGACAGTTAACCCCAACTACCCAAAACGCTATTCCATACCATATGGCATCATGCTCAGCATATAAAGCTGGGGGAAAAAGAAGGAGGCAGGGAACATTTGCAGTGATGACGTTTGTCTTCCCAAGTAGTCACTGTGTGTGCTGGAGCCCTGCTTTCCTGAAGATGGCTGAACACCTGCCTGCCGATAGGACGTAGTGAATGAATTCCTTGTTTTGCTTTTGCTTGCACACATGGCTTTTGCTTTACTAATTAAACTGTCTTTATTTCAACCCATGAGTTTTCCCACTTTTACCCTTCTGATTCTCTCCCCCATCCCAGCAGGCGGAGAGTGAGCGAGCAGCTGCCTGGGGCTTAGCTGCTGGCTCGGGTTAAACCACAACAGAATGCTATTAGCTTATTCACTGTGACACTTGGGCTTCCTGCTCTGCTTACGGTAAAGAATACTCCCTGAAATTCTGCAGCTTCATGAAAATCTTTATGCTACCAAGTACTACATCTAGGAGTTTCAATGCTGTGATATTGAGTACAAAAGTATTTGTAACAATCAGAATTTTCACATACTGTTTTTCACTGGACAATTTACAATGCCAGGGCTCTTTTTTCTGACCTAGAACTAATGTGACAGAAAAAGTATGACTTCAAAATGACAGAGGTGAAAAATGCAGATATTGTCACTACATTAACATTAATATAGTGCTAACCGTGCTGCAAGGCTCAAAAATTGAAATGCTGAGAAAAAAAAAACGGAGTACTGTAATTGCTATAAAAAGACACTGATTTTATTACAGTAATGGTTAAGGACAGAGGATTGTGAAAAGTCTCACTGAGTTATTTAGGCATTGTGAGGGATCTTCCAGCCCCTCCACTGGGTATATGGAACTGTCATGCTCCTGAAAATCTGCTGGACCCAAACCCAGCAAAGATTTTAGGCAGAAGAAGGGAATTCTCAAACACTAATTTTAAGCCCTTAAAGCCAGTAAATATTGGCTCCTTCTAAAGCTAAGAAATAGAAAGATTCTTTTGGGAAAAAGGAGGAGAACACCAAGTTAGTGTTCTTCCTCCTTCTCCTGATGACTATTCAACTCTCCATACACTTCAAAGCAATCAATGTTAAATAGCTTCTAAGAAGCCTTTGTGAAATTCCTCTGCATCACAGACATGCTTAAGATAAGGATGATACACACTCAAAAAGACCTGTCATGTTTTTAAGAGTAAAGAAGCATATAAACCCCACAAGCATAGGAACAAAGTGTGCTCTGTGGTCATCTCTGAACTTTGGTCTGGTCAGGATGGTCTACATCGTTCTGTGTTTCTCTGATGAACAATTTCCAGAACAGAAGTGCTAATTTCAAACATACTACACACATGAAATTTTGGAACTTTCCAGAAGTTTTAGAATGGTCCCAGTTGGTGATTTTATATACTATTTCATACTGGTTTTGGACAACCATGCTACCTTATTCCATGAAGAAGTCTTCAGGCAGAATAAGAAACAAAACCTACTTAGAATAATCACGAACAAAAAACTGCAGCAGATGTTTACATCAGGCTGAGTTTCCTGAGGGCGTGTGGGTGGAGAAGATTGGCAACATTCTTAAGCATGCCTCTGCTAGCCAACATGTGCAGATGTTAAAAGTAATAAAATTTAAAATGACAGTTTCACTACCAAATTCACCTTTATTCCAAGTTTCAGATCCCAAAATTAAAGTTTTCTAAAGAGTAAGATCTGTAGCATATTCAACAACATAAATTTATACAGGAATTTTCTCCCCTATTGTGAGGGGAAAAGAAAGAGACTAGATTATTTTTAGTGGTTTTTTGTTTGTCTGTTGTTCGCTTTTTTTTTTTTATTAAATACAAAAACATCATGCATCTTCCACCATCAGGAGTTCTTAGATAAAGCAGAATTTAGGAAGAATATTAAACAGTTGTTAACTTAGAAAAGTTTAGTCCTTGCTAAAGGGAGCAAAAAAATTCAGCATATCACTGAGATCAAGCAGATTTAGTCACCTTTTAGTGGACTGACTGTATTATAAATAACACTGGAGTGTGAGGGCCCTCACTCTCCTCACCATATTTTAATCTGGCCCTTGTGCAGGATTACAAAACTGAATTCATATCCCTGAACTATTAAACCCTCACTGAGGCCATGAAACACCTGATTTAATAAAAATGTTTTACTGTCTCTTTTAAAGTGATAAAATAATTTCTGCAAAACATTTCTGTTTGTGGAAGTCCTTTTTTTTACATGCTTCTGGAACCTGACTTTTCAGCTATGAGTTTCTAACAGGAGAAGGCATTAAAAATGTAGCAAAAATTAACAAGAGCTTTGTGATTTGGAAACAGCAAGACTTGATCGGTCTGGCACTATTGGCAATTTCACATCTGCTCCACAGTAAAATCTGCCACTATTTCCATAGTTATTATGAAGTTAATGTATGCTCAGAGGTTGCATCTCTGGAAAACCAATACTAAAAAATGCTTGCACACTGCAGTTAAGCCAAGAAAAATCTCTAAAAAAATTAAATGGAGATTAAGCAACAATTGTAACTATCATAAAAGCCAAGTATTGCTGCAAAGGAAAATGAAATCGGAAAGCACCAAATGAAAAAGATTTTTTTAAAAAAAGATAGTAAGAAAATACTACTAGCAAATAACGGCAATGAGTTTTCACTAGCTGCTATCAGAAATTCCTGTAAATTAAAAATAGATAGATAAATGGATATGGCAGATTAGCCCTAAACATATCTGTGTACTCTATACTAGAGGATGGGGAAAATCACAGCAAATAATAAATACCTATCAAACTACTTTATTAATAGCAACAGAGCAGGAGGAAAATAAAATCAACATAAGGCACTATCTGCCAAAACACAACAGAAGGCCCTCAAAATGGCACCATTAAATACCTCCACAAACACATAAACAACAATATCCAGCTAGAGGAGAACACTTGAAAACGTGCCTAGAAAACACAGCAATAGAAGACAATGGTGTTGCAAACATTATTCTTGTTTCCAGTCAACGCTGCAAAAAGCACAAACAACAACTCCAAGAAATGGGGCTCCAATATAGTACCAGCATCACAAGAAGGTCAAAAATCAGTGTGGTTGAAAGGGAAGGTTCACATCTGAATCATAGACAAATGTATATATTTTAGTTTTCACATTAGATAGCTTCCTTGCATTATCTTTAAATTGCAGTTTTGGAAAATTATTACTCAATGTCACAAGATGCATTGTAACAAAAACAAACATTCTTCCTGTTTGAGCTTCAAAATAATCAGTACAAATGAAGAATACAAGATACCTGTAGGTGCTCTATTACAAGGAAAGCTAAACAGAAACACAAAAGGGCCAGAAACTACTTCAACAGTAAATGTATCTTTTGACTTAGTTTTATTTTGAGGCTTAAACAACAAATAAGGAGGAGTATACAATGTAGCTGTCCCTAATTAGTAGATCAAAAGAGGTAATTTCAGAGGTCACTCCCAGTTACACGTTCTTTTTTAACTTTTATAAAAACTATATATAAAGTTGAGTTTGTGAAACTCAACTTTAAAATCTAAAATTCTCAACAGCTCTGCTCTTCAAGAAAGCAAAATTTTGGACACAAAATCAAAAGCAGTATACTAACACCAACCTAAATAGTGTGCCATATTGCCACTTTTCTTCTTTCCCGCTTGGTGGTGCTCCGAGCAAACCAGTTCAGGGAGCTCAGCCAGCAGAAAACAATAAATTTTCTTTTTCTTTATGGGCTTCCTTCTGCTACTAGCTTCCTTGTACCAGCTCATTGGAAGATTAGACAAAAGTCAAAGCTCTTGCAATGGAGAGAGAGGGAGACACACAACTAGACATAAGAGGCAAAGAGTGGGAGCACCAAGTTACACTGGCTCAAGTTTTTGAAAAAACACAGCCTTTTTCCACAGCTGTGCCCCACTGGAAAGATTTGACTGGTACTGACATAGGGGAAAAACACACCAGTAACAGGGACCTTGAAAAGTGCTGTGGATGCTAACCTCTTCAGAGAAAAGTTTTTCACTGCTGGAATTTTATTTATATTTCCACAAGCTATGTAGATATCATTGTGATTTACCTGCAAATAAACAATCTTCTGAAACACATCTTCTCTCATGCTCATCTCCACATCAAAACTAGAAAGCTTTTTGTCAGCTTCTGTACTTGCTAAGCGTATCTCTTTGTCAGGTGAGACATGCTGGGGAAAATCCAACATGCTTCTTTCCACTGTTTAAATAAAAGGCAAGGAACACTTACACAGAAGGCTAGAAATGCTTTAAGGATAAGGAACTTCCCCCCCTTGTGACATTTACAGAAGATATAAGAAACAAGTACCCAACGCATCCTGGCACTTCAGATCAGGCTTGAAGCAAATGAAGTGATTACACATAATGTAAAAATGACAGGTGAAAGGACAAAACTGCACACCATTATAACAAATAAACATTTTACAGAAACTATCTATTACCCAAGTCTAATTATTTCACCTTCTTACTTCTACAAAGTCAACTGAAAGGTGTATAAATACGATACATGATATTTGAAAGATAAATCATTTGTGAGTGAAGACTGACATTGTTTCACAGGTGGCACAAATGCTTCCATGTTAAAATTTAAAGTGAAGAGCTCTGAATCTTTCAAACAGGTCCATCTGTCCTGAAGTTATTTTCATATTTCTATGAGACCAGTGTCAAATCCCCATCTTCTCTTCTGTGTTTAAGGAGACACAATACATCAAACACAGAAGATGCTGTCTATGTATTCTGAACTTCTAGAGATCAGAAGCTGAGTAATGCTACTTTTTTAGAATACACTTCAGAGATTAAGTAAATCCTTGCTTATTAAAGCTATATCACATCTTATAATGACATTGAATAGAAGTGCTAAAATAGAAACAAATTGTTACGACCAGTTGAATTAACCTAATTCAAAACCAGTTATAATTTCACTCCCCTCCACCTCCTCAACAGCACATTTTAGAGTAGCATTTTAGGATCATTTAAAGCTTTGCAATTTTATGTAATGTGAAGTTGTTTTATCAAACCCTTAGATATTCTCAGCCCTTCAGAAACCTTTGGAATGCAAACATGGGCATATGGTTCTTTTTCAAGTCCATAGAAAGCTTGCTTTTCCCTCCCTCCTGTCCTCATGCCAAGATATTTCAAAATGACAAAGTGAGTTTTGGCAGCTCCCAAGTGAAATTTAAGGCCTGTTGTCATCTCTGTCTTTCCAGATAATAAGTTCCAATTACTGGGGAGGGTTTTCATGTACATGTGAAAGAGACACACAGGCCTTAAAGATCCCAGGTTTGAACGGAAGTCTTGCTGTGGTAATACCTTCTTATCATACGCTATGGGCTGTTTCACAGGTAAGTCATGCTAATTTCACATACAGCTTTGAAGTTTAGCAATAAAAGCTTAAATATGACCCTCTACTGCAACAGCATGTAGATAAAGAAAGTACACCTTGGAAGATGCAAGTCCTGGTGGCTATGCAGAGAAGCTGATGGCCACTATTTTCTGAATCAAACATCAATTTTCCTTCTAACATAATTTAAAGTAGAGAGTTTTATACCTTGGTGAAAAAGCTTACAATAATTATACCAAACACATTGGTACAATTAAAACAATCTGAGAGGAAGCTGTTAAGATGAAGACCTCTCAGTCTTCCTGCCAGCATCAATTCCAGTCAACTCACTGTATCTGCCTAAACCGTAACTCTAAGTAACGTGAAAGCCAGACTAACATTACAGTACAACCACTTAAGCTGCAGGCTGCTCTTATTTTGCTAGGCGAAGATTTTGCTCCAAGCCAAGACGGCTGTTTCCAACTTCTATTGCTACTGCAGATTTTTAAAGAGGATTTAAGAGAACTTGACATTTTATTACACCGACTACTTTTTGAAGAGTCATGCCACCACCATGTGATACATTTTTCCAAAACAAAGCCATCCAAGATGCATTTTTATTTTTTCCGTCTCCTCTGACTGACAATTATTAACAAATTAACTGAATGACCTGTGCTTGGCCACTGAACTCCATCCAGGTATTGGCACGTCTTGATAATTCAGTCAGAACAATCTAGATGTCACTGCATGATCAACAACTCTCCCTGGATTCTTCAAGGCCTTGTAGGCCATAAGATAAAAGTGAGCAAGTAAAGCAATCATCCTTCAAAAAAAGCATTCAAAAATGCCCCTATTCTCAGCCATCACATTTTCTCCACTAGTAGCTTATCAACCTTTCTGCTGTTCCATTTGACCTGCTTGTCTCAGATTCTGCAGTATCTGAAAAAAGCACTGCTTATCAGGTGTGAATGTACTAGGCGTACCATAGACACTGTAGTGTATGTCCACTGTTGCACATTGTCCTCTAGCGGTTATACACAGCTGGAAAAGAAAAAGTAACTGTGTGGAGCTTCATACGCAAAAAGAAAATAGGTGACCAATGCAGTTGTCTGGATGTGTCAAAGATCAACAGTACAGCTTTGGTACTCACTTTTATTTTTGTCTCTAGAACAAAGCAGCAGATCTTTGTAGCTCATCGTGTTACATTCTGAAGGATTATTACGACCAGAGGATCCTTGAGAGGCCTCTACATGTTTTACACGAGAACAGCATGGATCAGAATTGTAAACAACAACTATCTCTTCTCAATGTTTCTTTATGTGCAGATGGAATGCCCTATAGAAGAAAGAATCAGAGAAAACGTACACTAACCTGCGTATTCCACTTCTATATCTGCCAAGGCCCGTATCGTATTTTCATGTGTTACTTCTCCAATATCAAGCATCCCGACACTGTCATATACATGCTTTGTCTTCCTGATTAGTTCTTCTGTTCTTGTTCTAATTTGCTCTGGTGACAGGTCCCATCTCAAAAGGTTTCGGCCTGATGCTATGGATGAAGAAGCCTTGAGCTGGCTAGTAATTTCAGCTCCTAATGTCATTCTCAACACAAGCTGTGGCCCAATGGACCTGAAAGTATAAAAATAATCTTTGCATAGCAAGATTCTAGTTCAAGAGGCAGTTTATAGTGAACATTAAAAAACCAGGCAACAGATCTTTACTAATTAAAGAATATTTCTAGAAGCAAGAACATAGTCCTTATTAGAGCCATAGCTTGTCCAGTAAGACCATGCACAGATATTACCCTTATCAATTAAGTCTAATTTGACTTTAATCGGGGGTCTGTCTTCTACCTTTTCCATCTAGAGGATGACTAAGTGCAGATAGGGATAAAAACTTTGGTATTGACAAAACCAGACAGATTAAATTACTACTCAATCTTCTAAGAAAAACAGAATTACAGTTACTGAAACAGACAGTATTTGCATTTTTGAAATAAGGAATAAAACCCACATAGTGATTTGTAGTTTATGAAGACCAAGAACTGCAAAGATGCACAAAACAAGACACACAAAAAATGTAATTTGGTCATGTTCATCATAACAAATAATTTTATATTTATTCAGGATGTCTGCCACATAATCAGCCATGGGAAGAAAACTTCTAGTTGTTACTCACTTGAAAATTTACTCCTCCATTTGTTGTGAATTTCAAATAGACAGTTTCACTCTATTGCCAGAAGAGCTATACATTTACTGTAATATATGTCTTATTATTCTTGATCAGATAAATCAACTGTATTTCAGCTTCAGCTAGCAGAAAAGTTTACATACGTAACTAATCTTTTTGACAGTATTTAAAAAAAAAAAAAAAGTGACCTGGAGCAACAAAACCAAATATGAGTTAGTAAGATACTGGCTTCAGAAGCAGAGGCTTCTACCCTCCCACCCCAGCAAACCAACACTCAACTTGGTTGTATAAAGAAGAAGGATACAGACTCAGGGAACTCTCTGAAGTGGGACCAACAGAAACCCATACCATCAACAAGATGTTCACCTGGTGACTACATTAATAGCTCAGTTATATATGAAGTAGTTGCTGAGGGAGATAGTCATTTGGTAGTAATTAAAAGACAGCTTGCATGCAAGGACTGAATGCTGCAGTGCTTAGCATCATAGGAGGATCACAGGAGCACCAGAGGAGCATTTCTGGCTGGTAGAGACTTTATATCTGCCTCTCTATTTCAGTCGCATAATTTAAAAAAAAATAAATCATAACATATGGTAAGATTGACAACACAAAATTTTCAACCATAACTAAAGAAATATAACACACATACAGAGCTTGCTACTAAAAGGGATGTTTACAGAACACTATTTTATATTAAATACCTTTTTATCTTAACCCTAGCCACTGCACCTCTACTAATTTTACTGCAAAACCAGTCTGGTATGTGCCTAAGTGCTGAGACGGGTTTTGGCATACAATGCAGGGAGCATGCATAAAAGGATAGGCAACTTTAGCTTGAAGGAAAAATACAGCAGAAGAGTGAAATGCCAACAATCCAAAAAGAGCCACACACAAGGCTTCTGTTTGAAGGCAAGACTTTTAATAAAAAGTCTCACTCGTCTATAAGAGCAATTGTCTACAAATAGCCTAGCCAAAATTATTTTTATGAAAGACAACATTTCTATCTACGCTTTATGATGAGAATTTCTTTGTCCTCGGATTACCAAAATTGCTTCAATTCCTCCTATATCAATGTACACAAGATGTTTACTTTTCCCTTTCGCTGGCATATAAAAACATCAATGTCCAGCATATTGATGATTTAACTCTGAAAATGAAGCCTGAATAAAGAACATTCCTTCCACCTCTGTTCTATCTCTGATGTCAACTCAGTTCTGACATTAATGTCTTAGTAGTTTCTCCACTGGACTACTGAAACTTTGAATCTCAGTTAGAACTTTATGATAAATGAAACTGCTTTCATGAAAGCAGAAGGTTAAGTATCAGCAGTCTCAGAATGCATTAGTTCCCCATTCCACAAAACCACTGAATTCTACCCTGAATCTACAAACCCACTAAAGAACAGTACTTCATTGAGTCACGAACAGATTCCCACTGGACTGCTCTATGTCTAGTTTTTCACGTACTGCTACTGTAGCTCCAGTACAACCTCATGGAAGCTGAAATGGAACCTCCTCAAAAGCAGGGTCAAGGCTTTGAACTGTACACCTGGCCCCCACCCCCGAGAATATCAGAAAGAATACAAAATGTGCCAAATTAGGGTCAAAATAAAAGCAAAATAGAATCAATGGAAAACAACAGCCTTAACAACACAGAAGCTGACAACTATGCTAAAGTGCAGGATATGGAGCAGATATTCTTTTTCAACGGGAACCTACAGCTTTCTGCCATTCATTACCTTCACCTAGATATGCAGAAAACACAGCCCTGTCACTGACTATCTACGCATCATCAGAAACAAACACTAAAATATTATGCTAGTTTTAGCCTACCCAACAATTTTAATTAATAATTAAAGTTGGACTGATTTCATGAACTTGAATGCGGGGTGCCTGATTACCGTAGATCATTACTTTTAAATACAAAAAAAAGGTGCCACCTGATTTTCTTAGCACGTTGGCTAGTTGCATTGAGGAATACACATAACATATTTGACAGCTGCACAAATGATTGCCATAAATGCCAGCAAGTGGTTGTCTATCTGTTAGAGAGAGGAAAACATAGAACTGCCCAGTTTTGGAGTACTGACACCTTGTCTCCTCCTGCTGATAAAAGGAAGCAGTCATTTATGTAGATTAACAAAGGCAGTGCAAACTCAGAAAGACCTGTAAGTCTTTCTAACTGACCAAATGAAGGTGGTGGGCCTTCAAAAACATTTTGCATAAAAACAATCACTACAAGCAACTCTTCAAATAATCATTTACAGACATGTGTTGGCACCTTGCTACCAGTCAATCGGATTGTATTTAGGACCAAAGTACTTGACATCAGATTAGTAAAAAATAATGTGCAAGTAAAAAATATATGCACAGGTGAAATCTTGGCCATTTCTTTCATGGCTTAGTATTTCGTACTCTTTGTCTACATAACACTATAAATAAATACATTTCCAATCATACTTCAATAAAATTGATAATTTACTAACTTTATCTTATCTGTTCAAGAAAGAAAAAAAGAAACAAAGCCAAAATTAAAGATTAAATAAACTGTAAAGAAACAAGAAAGAAGAATATAGCTAAAATAGTATGATTGTTTAAAAAATGCTCTGAAATTACACTTGTCATATTAGAAATATTACAAAAATATTACAGTAAATTTTATCACTGGGAGAAACTTTAACTTCCTAGATATAAACTGGAAAACAAATTTTATTAATAATGGTAGGTACCAGACACAACAGCAAACAGCTTTCTTCAAACAGAAACCAAACTAACACTACGCAATTATTATTTTAGTGCAGAATAGCAGGCCTACCTAAACAATCCTATGTCAAGGATAAGGTTCATGAGCAGCAGCAGCATTGCCTGTAGATATTCTTCTTTCCCGTTCCTCCCTCTGCTGCTCATTTCTGTCCCTGTATGCTACTCCATCAATGACAGCAGCGTAACTGTTGCTAGGGTCATGCTTTGAAAAGACTCAAGGCAGCATACAGGACGAAAACCGAAGTGGACCAAAAAAATGCAAGGGGAACAGCTTTGTTTTCAGCTTATCAGTTCCGTCATCTATCTGACGTGTACCTTCAAAACAGCTGTGCTGGCCTAAACGAAGGATCAAAAGTGTCAACAGCCACCTAAGCCTCCACTACTGCCAGCAACACATATGAAATGCATGGATTTAGTCTAGCAAAAAAGTCTCAAGACGATTGCTGTCATTAAGCACGTCACTTAAATGTTTCGAAATGAAAAGAACTATTGATTGTAAGAGGCAATACTGACTTAAGAATGAATTAGAACAAATTGGTCAGCAATACACGTAAGCTAGAATTTTAAGAGATGTTTGTAATCATCAGGGCAGTGAGGTTCTGAAACAGCTGTCCAATAAGCACCAGGGAGTGAAAACACCTCTATTTATAACATGGAGTTTGACTAGCTTATAAAATAGATCATATTACTCAGTTACCTAAGGTAGCACAGGTCCAAACTTGATCACTCCAATTGTCCCTTCTGGTCTCTATGTTCCTGTGACGTCCTTCGACATTAAAACACCTTTATTTAGATTGCATTTTTACGGTGAAGATCTAACTGGCCTCTGTTGGCAATTTGCACCAGCCTTTTTCTTGTATGACTTCAATGGCATCTCATGACAGTGGAATGACACATAGGGCAAACGGAAGTATATTATGCATTTGTGCACGGCTTCATCCATCTATAAGAAATTCAGGAGGAAAGACACGGAAAGCTTGGTTCGGATTTTCAGCTACAACAAAGAGTGCTACAGAAGCAGCTGTTTTCACCAATTGTGGTATTAATCTGCCAATCCCAAATGCAGGAAGAATGATAATTTCTACTAAAAGCAGTGTAAGTTGAATAACAACTTAAAAGCTTAGTAGCTACTGCTAAAAGAGGATTTTTGGGAAGAAAACAAAGCTTCTAAGTTACAGACTGAAATCATTGCTATTTTTGCCAGAATGCCAGCTAATTTATTTTACCAACAAATCTACAATTCGATTACTTCCTGCTTCTGGAAAGCATAAATTTGATTTGATTTCAGAAAGGAGAAGGATTTTTATAATTACTCTATTACAGCAATACAGTGACCAGCATAACTGCTGCAAAGACAAACAAAGCAATTGAATTTACAGACTGATTTTTAACTTATGCAGTAAGTATTTTAAATATATTAAACACTTATGTAAGTCTGGCTTTGTTTAGAAACAATTTTTATGACGGGAACATGCCAAGCAACCCTTTGTTGGCAGGTTCTATCAACGCTATTAAAATAAAACAAGTAAGCCCCAATCTATGAAGCAGAAGCAGCAAAAGGTAGTACCAGCTTTAGAAAACACAAACACAAAAACCTGCAAGCTTGTCCACAATATGCTCCTACTACTGATAATCACTTTATTGTATGGACAAGATTTAAGCCTGCTGTCTCATTTA